TCTCTTCCCATAACCAAACCATCGCCAGAGAAATCCTAGTAAACAACACAGAAATCATCGATAGATACAGCGATAGCAGGCGGCTCGACGTTTGCGAGGCACTACACATCAAGAAGTCAACACCAGCAATCAACAGCCAATTATTGCACAACTATATTCTACCCACCTCAAGACTCCGCTCCAATATAGAAGCATCAAGAAATATGGACCAATAGGCTTTCTACAAACACTTCTATTCAATATCCATTGTTTCGTGTTCTGTCTTGTGTTGATACTTTTAATACCCTATTAATATCCTCTAATGCCACATCATCCTTCCCACCTTACTCAAATGTAATGCCACATCACCCTTCCCACCTCACTCAAATGTAGATATAAAATCAGGGAAACGCAAGTTCTAATCAGTTGTGTATTTGTGAAGTCTTTGAAAATGTAATAAGTTTTACGAAACGCGCCCGTGTCGCGTCAGACTAGAAATAAAAATGAATTTTGGAGAAGTGATTTTTGATTTACCTCCAACAGTGAAGCATAATGTACGAAAGATTGAGAAAATTCGTGTTAGAATTATTAATCTTACTTTTTCGGTCATATTTAATAAAATATGTCTACAGGAAAGACTGCTACCAAAATATACTAATATATATATATATATATATATATATATATATATATATATATATATATATATATATATATATATATATATATATATATATATATATATATGTCGTACCTAGTAGCCAGAACGCACTTTTCAGCCTACTATGCAAGGCCCAATTTGCCTAATAAGCCAAGTTTTCATGAATTAATTGTTTTTCGACTACCTAACCTACCTAACCTAACCTAACCTAACTTTTTCGGCTACCTAACCTAACCTAACCTATAAAGATAGGTTAGGTTAGGTTAGGTAGGGTTGGTTAGGTTCGGTCATATATCTACGTTAATTTTAACTCCAATAAAAAAAATTTACCTCATACATAATGAAATGGGTAGCTTTATCATTTCATAAGAAAAAAATTAGAAAAAATATATTAATTCAGGAAAACTTGGCTTATTAGGCAAATCGGGCCTTGAATAGTAGGCCAAAAAGTGAGTTCTGGCTACTAGGTACGACATATATATATATATATATATATATATATATATATATATATATATATATATGTCGTACCTAGTAGCCAGAAAGCACTTTTTCAAATACAGAGGTCTAGCACACTGCTACAGCTTTGTTCCGATCGGCTCGGAGACCCTCGGTTCGTGGGGAAAATGTGCATTGAAGTTCCTGAAGGAATTGGGGGACAAATTGATCAGCGCTACAAAAGACCAGAGAGCAAAAAGTTCCTTATTCCAGCGCCTCAGTGTTGCGATTCAGAGGGGAAATGCCTGTTGCGTCTTGGGCACTAGTCCAACTTCAGAGGAATTCGAAGAAGTGTTTGACTTGCAACAATGATCGAACCCGTCTGTGACATTCATCAATGTTTCCCATTGTTGTGTTTTTCAAGAGATCCATAACCTTTAAGCACCATTTTTGCATTATTATTTTTGTATCAACCCATGTATATCTTGTAACCATCAAATGCATAATAAAGCACAAAAAATAAAAAAGGAAGGGGGTGGTAGGAGAAAAGCACACAGAAACTGTATTGGAGGGGATCTAAACATTCCCTCTAATGCGTTATGCGTGGTTTCCTCCGAGGCTATGGGTCCCCCTTCTTCAGCTAGAGGTGGTACTCCCTTCTATATATATATATATATATATATATAGTATATATATATATATATATATATATATATATGTCGTACCTAGTAGCCAGAACTCACTTCTCAGCCTACTATGCAAGGCCCGATTTGCCTAATAAGCCAAGTTTTCCTGAATTAATATATTTACTATAATTTTTTTCTTATGAAATGATAAAGCAACCCTTTTCTCTATGTATGAGGTCAATTTTTTTTTATTTGAGTTAAAATTAATGTAGATATATGACCGAACCTAACCAACCCTACCTAACCTAACCTAACCTATCTTTATAGGTAAGGTTAGGTTAGGTAGCCAAAAAAAGCTAGGTTAGGTTAGGTTAGGTAGGTTAGGTAGTCGAAAAACAATTAATTCATGAAAACTTGGCTTATTAGGCAAATCGGGCCTTGCATAGTAGGCTGAGAAGTGAGTTCTGGCTACTAGGTACGACATATATATATATATATATATATATATATATATATATATATATATATATATATATATATATATATATATATATATATATATATATATGTCGTACCTAATAGCCAGAACGCACTTCTCAGCCTACTATTCAAGGCCCGATTTGCCTAATAAGCCAAGTTTTCATGAATTAATTGTTTTTCGACTACCTAACCTACCTAACCTAACCTAACCTAACTTTCTCGGCTACCTAACCTAACCTAACCTATAAAGATAGGTTAGGTTAGGTTAGGTAGGGTTGGTTAGGTTCGGTCATATATCTACGTTAATTTTAACTCCAATAAAAAAAAATGACCTCATACATAATGAAATGGGTAGCTTTATCATTTCATAAGAAAAAAATTAGAGAAAATATATTAATTCAGGAAAACTTGGCTTATTAGGCAAATCGGGCCTTGCATAGTAGGCTGAGAAGTGCGTTCTGGCTACTAGGTACGATATATATATATATATATATGTCGTACCTAGTAGCCAGAACGCACTTCTCGGCCTACTATGCAAGGCCCGATTTGCCTAATAAGCCAAGTTTTACTGAATTAATATATTTTCTCTAATTTTTTTCTTATGAAATGATAAAGCTAACCATTTCATTATGTATGAGGTCAATTTTTTTTTATTGGAGTTAGAATTAACGTAGATATATGACCGAACCTAACCAACCCTACCTAACCTAACCTAACCTATCTTTATAGGTTAGGTTAGGTTAGGTAGCCGAAAACGTTAGGTTAGGTTAGGTTAGGTAGGTAGGTTAGGTAGTCGAAAAAACATTAATTCATGAAAACTAGGCTTATTAGGCAAATCGGGCCTTGCATAGTAGGCTGAGAAGTGAGTTCTGGCTACTAGGTACGACATATATATATATATATATATATATATATATATATATATATATATATATATATATATATATATATATATATATATATATATATATGCGGAAAATCCACAGAGAAATATGAAATGAGGTGAACGTTTCGGCTTTGTTAAAGCCTTTGTCAACACCAGACTGACTCACCTCATTTCATATTTCTCTGTGGATTTTCCGCATAAAATGATCAGTGTTTTGTGATCGTCAATTGCATATATATATATATATATATATATATATATATATATATATATATATATATATATATGTCTGAAAACTCACACCCCAGAAGTGATCGAACCCATACTCCCAGGAGCAACGCAACTGGTAACTACGGGGCGCCTTAAACCGCTTGACCATCACGGCCGGACAAAAGGAAGTGATAGCCGAAGATATTTGAACCACTTCCCCGCCGGCAACTCGGATGGTAATCTTGGGCATAGCATTTAATCAAATCACCTCATTCTTTGGGGCACACGTGAGGAACACAAATGCGAACAAGCCTGAATGGTCCCTAGGACTATATGCGTCTGAAAACTCACACCCCAGAAGTGACTCGAACCGATACTCCCAGGAGCAACGCAACTGGTAACTACGGGGCGCCTTAATCCGCTTGACCATCACGGCTGGACAAAAGGAAGTGATAGCCGATGCTATCACTTCGGAAGTGAAGCCGAAGCGTGATGGTTAAGCGGATTAAGGCGCCCCGTAGTTACCAGTTGCGTTGCTCCTGGCAGTATGGGTTCGAGTCACTTCTGGGGTGTGAGTTTTCAGACGCATATAGTCCTGGGGACCATTCAGGCTTGTTCGCATATATATATATATATATATATATATATATATATATATATATATATATATATATATATATATATATATATATATATATATATAAATATATATATACATGTATATATATATATGTATATATATATATATATATATATATATATATATATATATATATATATATATATATATATATATATAATATATTGAAATTCAGAAAACTTGGCTTAGTAGGCAAATCGATCCTTGCATAGTAGGCCAAGAAGTGCATTCTGGCTACTATGTACGACATATATATATATATATATATATATATATATATATATATATATATATATATATATATATATATATATATGTATATAAACCACAAGTGAAGATTAACAATCTTTGGACAACACCCACCAGTGGGCCTCGAACCCAGAAAGCACAACTACCTTCCAGTAGCTGCCATAACTATTACGCCTTAACCCACTACACCATCAGACCCTTAAAGAAGTAGAGTGCCCTTGTCCAAAGATTGTTAATCTTCACTTGTGGTTTAAGCAAGTATATGCTTATAGCATGGACACGAGTACTCCCACATTAACAGTGGCTTGATGAAAAACGTATAGTAACCCCTCACTTGTCTAGTGCCGTACTAGTATTTGACTTTCCGTAGAAACCTCTTAGGCAAATTAATCAATATTTATTAGAGAGAATGTCTGTCTGCTCATTTGTTTGTCCAGGGTTTGCGGCCAGTGGTTCGGGATTGCACTCACTCTACTTTAACATGTGAAACATGTGAGGCAAGAGTGTGTCACAGGCCAGTTGGGGTACCTGCCCACCGAAATATAACCCCATTCCCCCTCTCCCCATGTGCTGTCTTAGACACGCAACACTGGCACTTACCTCCACCGCCCACCACACAACACTGACACTTACCTCCACCGCCCACCACACAACACTGGCACTTGTCTCTACCGCCCACCACACAACACTGGCACTTGTCTCTACCGCCCACCACACAACACTGGCACTTACCTCCACGGCCCACCACACAACACTGACACTTACCTCCACCGCCCACCACACAACACTGACACTTACCTCCACCGCCCACCACACAACACTGACACTTACCTCCACCGGCCACCACACAACACTTGCAATTCCGCCCTTTACAGCCCTTCTTGACCTCCGTCTCCCTCCTCTCACACTGACTCTTGCAGGAACCTCCCTTCTTAGCGCACTTCTTCTTCATCTCGCACCCTGTCGGAGATACACGTTTGTTCTTAACATATAAACAAGGAATACAAATAATTATTTTTGTATTCCTGCCAATGGTGGATGCCTAGGTAAGACAATGGTGGAGGCCTAGGTAAGACAATGGGGGAGGCCTAGGTAAGACAATGGGGGAGGCCTAGGTAAGACAATGGGGAGGCCTAGGTAAGACAATGGTGAAGACCTAGGTAAGACAATCGGGAGGCCTAGGTAAGACAATTGGAGGATGCCTAGGTAAGACAATGGGAGGAGGCCTAGGTAAGACAATGGGGAGGCCTAGGTAAGACAATGGGGAGGCCTAGGTAAGACAATGGGGAGGCCTAGGTAAGACAATGGGAGGAGGCCTAGGTAAGACAATGGGGAGGCCTAGGTAAGACAATGGGGAGGCCTAGGTAAGACAATGAGGAGGCCTAGGTAAGACAATGGGAGGAGGCCTAGGTAAGACAAAGGGGGAGGCCTAGGTAAGACAATGGGGGAGGCCTGGGTAAGACAATGGGGTGGCCTAGGTAAGACTTTGGGGAAGGCCTAGGTAAGACAATAGGGGAGGCCTGGGTAAGACAATAGGGATGCCTAGGTAAGACAACGGAAGAGGTCTGCATAAGACTTTAGGGAAGCCCTAGGTAAGACTTTGCGGTAGGCCTAGGTAAAACTATGGGGGGAGGCCTAGGTAAAACAATGGGGGGAGGCCTGTGTAAGACAATAGGGATGCCTAGGTAAGACAACGGAGGAGGTCTGCGTAATACTTTAGGGAAGCCCTAGGTAAGACTTTGCGGTAGGCCTAGGTAAAACAATGGGGTGAGGCCTGGGTAAGACAACGGGGGAGGCCTAGGTAAAACAAGTGATGTACCCAAATTGTTGATTTGGAATAAATTTAGTAAGTTCTTTCTCAGCCCAAGGGCTGGACGGTAGAGCGACGGTCTCGCTTCATGCAGGTCAGCGTTCAATCTCCGACCGTCCAAGTGGTTGGGCACCATTCCTTTCCCCGGTCCCCTCCAAAATTCCTATCCTGGCTGCTCTGTTGACTGAGCCAGGCCGCTATTCGGTTAACTGACCCTGGCAATGTTTCAGCATTACACTATTATTTTCCCAAGGCAACACTTTCACCAATGTAAGTCCCCCATTGTAAGTCTTACTCTCTAGAAGTTACACATTAATTTATTTCCCAGAGTTATACTTACCAAATTTAATATGCAGGGGTAATCTCACCATGTTAAACTTCAAGTCATTGAAGTTGGGGTCGCAACAGCTAACAGATCAAGCACGTACGATATTAAGGATTGACAAATGTTAATCTTCTTGTTTAAGAATCTGTTCACCTGAGACAGTTAAGCAATTCCCAGCTGTGTCTGGGTACAAGTGACAGGATGAACAACCGAGCGGGTTTTCTTCCTATTAGGGAGGGGGAGGGGGGGTTCTGTACATGCTGCTATGGCGGTGTGTCCAGTCACAGTATGAGTGGCGCTGCCCAATAAACTCGCCCCTCGGGGCAAAATTTTAAATTTAAAATCAACCCTGGAGTACTAATACCCTGGTGGTACCCATATGGAGAAAATTGTGCTACAGTGTGTTTGGGGAGAGACAAAGGCGTGCCCTCACCATGACCGGTGATCATGTGACCACAAACCCTCCCTTCTCCCCTTCAGAAACAGTGTCTCTCTCTCTATCAGGATGCGGTGAAACTAGACATCGCATCACGAGGGACCAGAGATGATGCAACCAATCCGAGGAGTTCACAGGAAAGGCGGGAGAGGCCTATGATTGTGACTGGTCAATAGGTGACGACGTCACAGCATCATGGACAATTCCTGACGACGCAGGATAGGCATTCGGGAAAGGACCACTTGTGAGGAAATAGATTTTCTGCTCCTTTGTGCGCTGTGTGTGTGTGTGTGTGTGTGTGTGTGTGTGTGTGTGTGTGTGTGTGTGTGTGTGTGTGTGTGTGTGTGTGTGTGTGTGTGTGTGTGTGTGTGTGTGTGTGTGTGTGTGTGTGTGTGTGTGTGTGTGTGTGTGTGTGTGTGTGTGTGTGTGTGTGTGTGTGTGTGTGTGTGTGTGTGTGTGTGTGTGTGTACTCACCTAGTTGTGTCTGCAGGATCGAGCATTGACTCTGGATCCCGCCTATCGAGCATCGGTTGTTTACAGCAATGACTCCTGTCCTATTTCCCTATCATACCTGGTTTTAAAATTATGAATAGTATTTGCTTCCACAACCTGTTCCTGAAGTGCATTCCATTTCCCCACTACTACCTAGTACTGCTAGGTAACAGGGGCACTTAGGGTGAAAGAAACTTTGCCCATTTGTTTCTGCCTCGAGCGGGAATCGAACCCGCGCCACAGAATTACGAGTCCTGCGCGCTATCCACCAGGCTACGAGGCCCCCTGTGTGTGTGTGTGTGTGTGTGTGTGTGTGTGTGTGTGTGTGTGTGTGTGTGTGTGTGTGTGTGTGTGTGTGTGTGTGTGTGTGTGTGTGTGTGTGTGTGTGTGTGTGTGTGTGTGTGTGTGTGTGTGTGTGTGTGTGTGTGTGTGTGTGTGTGTGTGTGCGCGCGCGCAAGCAGGAAAGAGCCAGTGCACATAGCTGTGCACCGGGCACCTCTTCTAGAAGGATTTGTCCTACACCAGCTTAATGGGTCGCTAAGGACAGTCCAAGTCATGACCATTCCATTGCTATCACAGGGGCCGCTGTGGCAGGTCGGCAAGGAAAAATATAGTCATGAATCTCCCTCTCCCCATCCGGCCCGTTGGCGCCGTGAAAGCTGACATGTGGCAGCTGACCACCACTCCGCCGCTTGGTGGTCAGCTGCCGGAGTGTGATGCTCCATGGGACGGTCCTCTGTCTTTTTGATGCCTTATGCTCCTCCTGCTGTCTTCTTCAATTGTGCTGGATCGCTTTTCCTTTTCCTAATGTTTCGTTTTTCTCCCCCCCCGTCTTCTCCTATCTGTTTGCCGTTTCCTGCCGACCTTTTGCTTGTTGTGGTTATTCTTTAAGACTTCTTCTATTTTGACGCCCGGGTGCTTGGGGAGGCATACTCTTGCACCCGTAGAACTGTAGTACTCAACGTCGAGAGCGAGGGAACCTTTTATTGTCAATCCTCCTTTCGTCACTGAACCCGATCTCGACGAACTGACGGTTCTTAAGGGGGCGTTTGTGGGGCGTGCATCGTGACCGGCCGGGGCCCCTAGGGGGCCTAGGGGCCCTGGCATGATAGGCAATAGCTTCTTGTTGGGTGTCCTGCCTTGTGGCTCCATGGTGGGTACGGGGGCACATTCGTGAATGAAAGTTTTTATCTTCGTCCTGATGTCAAATTCTGTTCCTCTTTTACCTTCTCAGGCTCGTGGGGGTGGGCGACCAAGCCCCCGAGTCGGACCGTGTTGGAAGACCAGGCTCTGTAGCCCCCACTGCATTGGGCCTCGACCTTGCTCCTCCTTCGACCTTTCTGACTACTCCCCTCGGCTCCCCTCTCTCCTCTGTGGTTAGGTCGAGCCCCAAGCCCCCAGTGGTGACCATCTCGTCCCCTGGCACGGCTCAGTCTCTAGTTGTGACTACTGCGCCTTTTAACCCCTCTCTCTCTCCTCTCTCTCTCTGGGGGTTCTCTTCGCTGTCCTCAACACGGCCGCACTCGCTCGATTCCTTCCCATACTGATGCGTATCAGGCCTTGTTTGGTTCCGCTTCGTGGGTCAAATACTTTGATCTCCTCCCTCTTGATTCTGTGCTTCCTGACGATTTCTCCCTACATAGGCACGTTGTTGATTCCGTCGATGCCTCTGTTACTTTCCACCCCACCCATCTCGGTATGCGTGTCGTTGCTGCTCCTTCTCAGGATGCAGCCTCCCGCTTGACTGCCTTTGCGAGACCCCTGTTCAGGTCTCCAAGAAGGCTCAGTTGAATGCCAGTGGTAACACTATTCTCCTCCCATCCCATGTTGCTACTGGTGTTCAGAATCTCCTCGATGTCCAGGGCCATTTTGTCCTCTAGGTAGACTCGTTTACTCGTCCCCCTCGTGGTCGTCCCTGTCAACCCCTTCGGGTTGTGATGATTACCTTTGATAATAGGATCCTTTCGCCCTCTATCATTCTTACTGGTGCTAGGTGCTCTGTCTAGGAGTACATTCCCTCTCCTCGCCTCTGTAATAAGTGCTGGAGATTTGGGCATGGTGCCCTCCGCTGCTCTAGAACTGTCTCTCTCTGTCCTTTGTGTGAAGGCGAAGGTCACTCTAAGGGAGTGCACTTCTCCCAGGCTCGCTGCCTCAATTGCGGTGAGGCCCACCCTACCTTCTCCCGTGCGTGTATGTGAGGCCCACCCTACCTTCTCCACTTTCCTCAACTTGAAGCACTGAGAGCGTTTATCTTTTTCTGAGGCGAGACGCCAGGTTCGCAAGCTCCCACCTTATGCTCGTGTGCTGCGGTCTTCTTCTCCTCGTCCTTCCCACCTTCCTCAGACTCGAAACCGTTTCCAGGCCTTAGACCCTGATACGCCCACCGCCCCCTCCTCTGTTCCTTTGAGTTCTGTCCCGAAGGGTTCCCTTCCTGTGCTTCTGCTAGGTGATTTCAATTGTTGTCAATCCCTTTGGGGTGATGTTCTGATGAACACCTGGGATCGCCTTCTTACACCGTTCATCTTCTCTTCTCTTCTTCCCTGTCTCTACTGAATTCTGGTGAGCCACACATTTGGACACTCGGACTCGCACCCTTTCCTGTCTTGATCTTGCTCTTTGCGCATCTTCTCTTTACTTAGATTTCACATGGCAGGTTCTTGATGACCTCCATGGCAGTGACCATTTCCCATCCTTGTTACCTTTTTCTCTTTTCACCCTCCCCTCTCCTTTCCTAGGTGGCAGTTTGCTAAGGCAGACTGGAACCTATTTACCCACAGTACTGCTCTCACTGACCTCTCCCTTCTGCCTCTCCCTCGCTCTCTCCTCCTATTTCATGACACTGTCTTCGATGCTGCCCTCCACCCTATTTCTCGCTCTTCCTCTCGGGACCCACGGAA